TCCACGGTGAAATCGTTGACGTCGTTTCGAATTGTACAATATTTTCTGCGCCGCCCATGTTACCAATTACATGGCCGAACAAATATTCCAGATTAAAACGAAACGAACATCGTGATCGCGACATGGATTGTTTCGGGTGTCGTTCAGTTGCTGTCAACACTCGGGGAAATTCGGTTTAACCGCTCGGATCGATCATTTTTATGTATGTATGTATGTAAGTACCTGCGATTGCTTTCCCTTTTGTATCCCATCGTCAAGAAAGCTACATACATACATACATAATGTTCACGGAAATTGAAGTAAACGAGAATATTTCGAAACTAGAAGGGGATAAATGTGTACGCTCCAAGAGGAGAAAGGGTTGTGAGCGTGCAATCGAGAGTGCAGTTAGGCGTGCTCTCTTTTCGTTAGCAGTTGCGGCGCATCGCATTGCGTCGCGTCGCGTCGCGTCGCGTCGTGTCGCGTCGCGTCGCGTCGTATGGTGTGAAACGATGCCCGTTTATCGTCACCTCTTTTTCACGGTGCTTTTGGTTAAATGTCTGCGACACTTGTATCGTAGCAGGACTATCTGCGCCGACTCCGCGACTAGCTGCGCCGTGTTGATTCTGGTACATCGAGCTACCCCCCTTTCCTTCGCTGTATCCCACGGCTCTCGGAGCCACGTTTAAATTTCTTTATTTAACACTTTACGCGAGAGTAAACGAGCCGGCCGGGCATTGTGCGCAAATATAGCTTGTCGCTGCTCGAATCTACGAGAATCCGCGACCCTCTTTCTTGGGACTGTTTTTTGCAATGCTCTCGAATAAAATCAGTTATTTACTTATTAATAACGTTAACCACGAATAACGTTCGATCGGTGTAATGTTTAATTTCTTCCTTTGCAAACGAGTATCAATCGAGCAAAGACGGTTAGCCTAGGCAATGCCTCCATACGACTTGGTTAATTAAAATCGACGTTGTAGTTGGTACGATTCAACAACCGCGATCCAAGTATATATGTATACATATAGTTGAGCCGTTCCCGAACCCGCATAATTCACGTAGCCGGGATATACGCGATTCACGGGCTGTAGATACCGATCCGTCGAGCGGTGCGGTGCGGCGCGGCTGCTTCCTGAAAAGGGTAGCAAAGGAAATCCTCTTTCGGCCCGATAGATCGGATTACGTACAGAAAAGATTTTCAAGAGATAGGAGAGACCAGCGCGGCAGAAGCGGTGGCGGTTCGACGATATTAATTAGCGTCCGAGAATCATAGAACGATGATCGATGATCTATGGCCGAAAAGGAATAGCGGCAACGCGGATCTGTAATATTCCATATAGAATGAGAACCGAAACAGCGCGAACCAAAGAGTCGTTGAATAATTCAAGATCCCGCGTCAAAGAGGCGAAGGAAATCGATAGTGTAAAAATAAGGCACACATTGACCCGTGGTACGAAACGGCCGAGGTCAATACTCTCGAGCGAAAATTTAATCGGCGAACCTCGAACAGGATAGTTAAATTCCGAGGTTCGACTAATTTCAATTCTTTTATGAAATTTTCCTGCCGCTCCGAGGTTTGATCGCCGATAGAGGTGAATTCTTCTCCGATGATCGGAAAAAAGATGGTCCGAAAACCAAACTACTAGCTCGATTTCGATTAACCGATCGATGAATTCGTGTACGGGTTTCACGATAACGCGTAACAGAATCCTTTATCTCAATATACATACATATATGTATTTACGTAAGAGGAGTTTCTCTGGAATTCAGCATTCCGACATGAGAGATTACGTTCTATTTTACAAAGCTATCGACACGACCGCCGAGAATAGCCCAACGACCGTCTGCTCGGCTACATGCTCATGGAACGTTGCAACGATGAAAAAACATACCTGTTCCGATCGCTTGCGAAATCATACGGTAGGTTAAATTTCCAGAAAAACCGATCGAACCGAACATTTTAAAGGATGTTGGACCGTTTCCAGCTTTCGATCTTCTCGACTGGATACGATCGACCGATCGCGTGAAACGATGCGAGTCCTGGTTCTCCTTACCCTGCTATCGAACCCATTCCCATCAAAGTCTCGTGAAACCGGCCGGCCGCGCTAATATTATATCAAAGTGTCATCGCGGCAAATTTGTCTCGCAAGCCGGTTACTGCGCGAGTCTACGTTATATTAATTTACGATTAGTTGGTGGCATTGTCAGGGACACGGTTACTCGTCGAACAAAGTTGGCTCTGGACAAGATACGGTTATACGAGGCGGCGCGGCGGCAAGCTTGAGAAAGGTTGGAGCTTGGACGACAAGGAACGCTTTTTTGCGCTTAATCGTCTCGATTGTAGCACAAGTTGGCCGGGGTTGCGCGAAATTATCCCCGCGATATCGATTCTCTAGCTAATATGGCGGCGATACCCTATCAATTTGCTCGTTGAGCTTTCGGGTGAAAGCGAACTCGGAAACCCCGTTATATCCGTAAGGAATCCCAATAAGTTTTTCGTCGAGGCTCCTCCAATCCAATCCCGACCGGGTGATTCTATCCACTCGACTGGAAAGTGCCTTTTCCCTAGCGGACGATGGTTGCGTGGTTCTTTGCAGGAAAGTAGCTGCGGCACACGTAAGTACTTACGCGTAGACGCTGATAAATAAGTAACGCGGTGAATTCTCTCGACCCAAAAGTTCAATGGACTGCAGCCTATTCCATGGAGTAGCTGTTACTCTGTCTCTGTTTCGCGGTTAATAAACTCGAGTGCGCTATTTTTCTTCTCTCGAGTTTTCCGGCTAATTCTAATCCATGTTGAATTACGTCGTCGGCACGTTTGCGCCTCTTCTTCTCTATCGCATGAAAAACGAGAATAACTATTCAGCCGTTTGCTTTTAAACCTCATCGAACGTTCCCCCGCCGACCATTGCTTTCCTCCGATGTACATGTGTACTAATCGCAACGCCGATTGTCTCCATTCTCGACGAAGAATAAATTTAGGATGGTGTAATAAACGAAAGAAGGTGATTTATACGAGGCAAGATGAAAAAGGAGAGAGAAAAGGTAGAAAAGAAATATTGATGAAAATATAAAGACAAAGAGGAGTGAGTGTAAAACTCGGCAAATCCTTTGCACTTTGGATGAGTAAAGGTACGTGCGAGAGCTGATAAATAAATAAGACGGGGTCGAGGCGTGGCGGGACGAAGCGAGTGGGGTAAGAGAGGGAGAATAGAACGGAGCTCGGTCAAGAGGCAAAGGATCGCAAGACGGTAAAGAAAAGTAATGCCAGCACGTAAAAGAGAATCAATTCGATTCCCTAGCCGCGCCTTGGTCCTGCATCTTTTCTTCGCCTTACCGCCCACTCCGGCAACTCTCGCCACTGTCAAATCTCCTTCCCTAACCTCCGTCGTTTTTCTTCTCCCTTTCCGTCCTGGCCACCCTCGACGAAACACCGTCTTTCCCCAGCCTGCACACGCCTGTTCCTTCCTTCCTTCCTTCCTTCCTTCCTTCCTTCCTTCCTTCCTTCCTTGGCGTCGCCCATACTCCTTTTCCGTGCAACAAGTGCGCTCCGATTCGCGTCTTTAAGAAACCACCCCTCCATCCTCTCTCGTTTAACCCACTATCGTCGTTACTAACACCACCCACCCTCTCTTTACTTTCTCTTCCTTTTCCTTTTTCTTTTTCTCTTTCCTCTTCCACTTTCAGTTCCACTAGCAGCACCACCGCTTGCTCTCGCACGCGCCCCAACCATCGTCACGTGCCGTTTCTTTCCTCGTCGCTCACATTGGCCCCCAACCAACTTACCACCACCACCGCCAACACCACCGCCAACACCACTACCTTGAAAATCGTTCCACGGTCTTTCTTCGTTATTTTCCTCTTCGCGACGACTTACGCCCGCAAACCGACTGGCAACCGCGACTCTGTATTCTGGGAAAGCGTCGGCCGCGCGTACTCGTACGCTCGTTTCATCGTTTCCCTCTTCAAACCGGGAATAAAGTGGCAAGAAAAGCTGTCAATGTAGTCGCGTTGAAATACAAACTTACTCGGCGGCTTACGATAACGCGAATTCGATGCGTACGAACCGATTTCTCGATTATCTTTTGCAGAAATCGTATCCCGTGTGTTTACTGCTTCGATAGACAAGTACAAGAAATAAGTGCGACGCGTTGCGTTTTTAAATGCTCGGGAGAAACATCGATAATCTAGTCGACGAGGATTAAAAAGTTTTTACTATCGTCGGGGGAGATTCGAGGTTTAAACGTGTTTCGCAATGATATCCGAATAGCAGGAGAATTTTACGAGAATCGTAAACTTTAAGCGAAACTTTATATCGTTTTGGTTCGCGAACTATGATATTTAATTACGGATAAGATCGTGGCAATGCGGGAAGAGAATGGGTGGGTTTGGTGATCATTGAAAGCAGATAAGAAAGGAGAAAGAATGGAACAAAGGAAAATCCGAGGGCGAAGATCCGCTGCAACAAGTATCGAACTGGACGGTCTACATGTCTTTCCAACAGAGTTCCGATTGTTATCGGGCGAAATACGCTGAATTTATCGGCGATTTAATGCCCCCCCGGGGACGTTTATAGGAATGCAATAAATAAAACTGGGTTGCTTCGAATCAATGGCAAAGTCATCACCGGCAGCTCGGCCACCGAGAAACGAAACCATGTATTATATGTATACATATACTTTGTTCCCATTTAGGGATTACTTATGCTATTAAGTAATATTAGTCCGAAATAAATAATTTCTTTCGAGAGAAAGTCACTTTATCAACGAAATATTTTCTGTTGGAGGCAGACACGGTAGGAACGGTCTCATTTTCTCGCTTCGTATTCAGCGACGCAAATATTTACTCTGCTAAACGCACTCCCCCTCCCCGTCGAAATAGCCATCCCGACGGCATTGCCCGACGGCATTGCCCGACGACCCCGGTTGCTGAAATGGCCGACGGTCGAACACGGTGGCCGAAACGACCAGGAGAAATGATTTCCACGGGCACAACCAGCGATTTGTGTTCTTACTTACCGCGGACAAGGATGAGGGCGCTGGACAGGAGTACGATTTTCAACGGCCAACTGGCCATCCTGGCGTAGACCGTTACGTCGATTCAGCTTCCTCCTGAAACAATACAAGCGTGCCCAATCAATCAACCCATCCATCCCAATCCGCTATCCGCGTATCCCAGCCAACTCTAGCTTGTCCGTTTCACTCTCTTTCTCTCTCACTCACTCACTCACTCACTCACTCACTCACTCACTCACTCACTCGCATACACACACGCCTACCCACGCATACACACTCTGCTATTCCCTCCGCGCAACTTCCTCCTCTCTCGTTTACTCTCATCTTGTCTCTCTCTCTCGCCCTCTTTCGATGCATGCCCACGATCGGACCTCATCCCACCTTTCGCCCCCCGTCCTTTCTGGCAGACTGCCCGTTCTACGCTCACCCTCAGCCATCCTATTCCCCTTCGTTTCGTGCCCAAACCCCTTCTTCGTATCGACAATTTTTTTCCTCTCGAATCCGTGCCTACGGGTTTGTCCGCTCAATGAAAGTCCTCCCAGACGGTGCGCGTCGTGCAACGTGCCTACATAATCAGAAAACGGCCGGCCGATGCTTACCTGCCAACGGAGCAGGTACTTTCTATACGCCACAGTTAATACGATTACTTTCGTTTCCCGATAAATTATCAGTTAACAACTATGTTTACTAGAATAACCGAAGACTGGTTGGGATTGTTGCCGCGTCTACGAATATCGAATATTTTTCTGTAGATACGATATAAATAGAATTGTATAGATTACATTCCAACATTCTCTATACGTATACATTTCTCTTTTGGTAAATATTCGATCCAATGACCAGAAACATTTTTGACGAACCCGTACGAGCACTCGAAACGGCAAAGAATAAATTCCGTTGAGATATGCGCAAAAGGAATCGATGTTCCCGCAAACAGAATATAAATACGATTGTCTCGTTGCATTCTATTTACGAGTTTAGCCGTTCATCGTACACTCCAACGCTTCCTTTCTCTACCTCCACGTTGAATATTGAACATTTTTTCTCGCCTCGATTTTCCAGGGGCTCGTCGGCTGAATGGTCATACACGCATACACAGCTACACACACACACACACACACACACAGAGAGAGAGGAAGAGAGAAGAGACAGTCACGCGAGCTGGTAACTGTGATGATTGGCGGGGCGTTGAATTCGTCTCGCTCCGAAGAAAGCGATACGGTTAACGACCCCTTCGTTGTTACCTGTCGATAAATGCGGCATTTCGAAAATTCAATTCTTTTAAGCCGATTCACGAGTACAAAATGATGTCGAACATATTGATTAAAAATGTTTAGAGTACCTAACATAGTTATCTTACACATATGTATGTATGTATACTGTATGGTCCAAGTAGTGTGCTGTTATAAGCTGTTTCCTCGAAAGACATCGACTTGGTTTCATATTAAATTAAACTCGGACTATCCGATTCGAAATATCAGATACGAGTGTAGTGTGAATCTTTCAAAGTCACGAATTTGAGAAGAACGTATGTACGTCGTGGATACATGAAAAGATAAAAGATGCGATTCAACGACGCGCGCGAATCTGTGAATAGAAAACGTTTACTGTCCAAATTATCGTGGACAGTGAACAGACACGAGAATATATTGCAGTTTATAAAACCGTACATGGTAAATATACAACGTATTTACTAATTAGCGAGATGTAAAGAGACTGGGATTAAGCTGCCGCCAACGTCATTAAACTACGCCGAGAGAACGCAATGCAGCGCGGCTGTGTTTGCTTAACTGTATTTTACTATTGCAAATACGAATTCGTATTAGTGGGAGAACTGCCGTATCTTCTACTATCGCTCTTTTCCCTCCAGCAGGTTAAAATACTCTTGAAACAACGTTCACGGATAATAAGCTAACCTGGCTGTATATTTATTTTATTTATATTTTATTTAGTATAACTGCTAGTCCGAGCAGTTTTGTAAAAAACTGGACAAAATTTGGTATGAAATTCTGGTTGGCTTCCGATGTAAATAGGAAATACATATACATATGTAGATACATACATATAGGAAAGACGAAAGAAGAGAGGGTTCAGTTTCCACTGTCTTGGAACAATCTAACAACGCGTATTAAAAATGGTTAAACTTTAGACGCGTGCAGTTCGAAAACTACTAGAGCTTTATCCATAATTAAGCCACCGTTAGAGGCGGCAAGGCCTCCTCTGTAAAATGGTTTTTCGTTTTTCTCGATCCGACTTTTCGTTTCCGAGATACCGTAATGTATGGTATGCGAAGGGGTAATTTTTCTTAATCCCCGACCATCTCTGTCTTCGTCTAGCGCGTCGGACCTCTCGCTCGCTTCTGCGTCGTGCTGACCTCCGCTACGAACGTGACTGTCGTGATCTAGTTCCGCCTAGTGTATCCAAGAATTTACTACGCACTGTTTACTATTAACGCGCGCGCGCGCGCGCGCGCGGTCATTCACCTCGCGTCAATGAAACGTAAACAAACGCCCGGACCCTCATATCTCCGGAACAACTAATAGAGCTATCGACTTGTTCGAACGCTCATTTTAAAGGGCATTTCATCCTCTATCCAGTTACTGTACCAGCTACTATAATTTTTACCGTCTTCCATGTTTATTTTCACATTTACTTTGACGCTACATACCCAAAGTAGTTCCAGCACTTCCTATTGATTGTTTCTACTAATGGTGTGCGATCAATCACGTCAAGTCGCGTATTAATCACGACCAGAGAAATTTTTCTAACGCGCAAAGTGTCAAGAATAAAACGCGATCGATGCAAAATGGTGCGCGTAGCGTGAAACGGATAGAAAAAAATGTACAGGATCTTGAAATAGTTGCACAGTCGGCCGATCGTTGGACGCGCGAGCGTAATTCTGACGCTAAAACCAATTTCCCGGGACTGTAATCGTTTTAGCAAAGTGCTTTGCAATTTACCGAGTCTTTATCAAAATAAGTCATTTCTGAACCGATACCATTACCACTGTTTCCCTATCGTCCCCTAATCGTTGCCGAGCCCTTTCAACCGCATCGATTTAGCCGATGCGACGTTGTTGACCAGATAAGTACTTGATCGTATTTACGAATCCAGTGTCTCGAGAAGCTTCGAGGGATCGCGTTACGATCGTTCGATTCGTTCTACGAATTAGAAAAGCAAATTTTACGTAACACGTACCGGTCGCGGTTGCGATCGCGGTAGCTGTCGCGGTCGCGGTCTCGGTCGTGGTCTCGTGGTCGTGGTCGTGTTTGCGTTAAGCGTCAACTATAATTTAATGTAATCGCGCCAAAGTCACGATTGAAACGCGACGACGCACGACCGAGATGGCGGAGCCCATGCTCGCGCGCATACGCAACCAACCACACGTATCTCTCGAGCTAACCCCTCTTTATATGTACAGAATTCATAACCGGAGGGAACAAAAGAGCGTAGCTCGTAGATAGCTCGAGTTAATATATCATCCCTCTAACGGGAATCAAAGTCCTGGGAGAGGGAAATCGCGTGTAATAAGCGTGCCAAGAGGAAACATTATTTACACAGGAGCTTCGGTTAAAGGTACAGTCGGTGGTACCGGTAAACGCGGCTCATTCTCGACCATTCTTTTCTCGTGCCGAAACAGAATAGACGTAACAAACAAATGTTCGTAAAGGTTACGTAAACGACCAAACGATCTACATAAAAGTTTGAAATGTTCCAAAGTCCGTTCGGTCGCGTTCGTTTCATGTCGGTAGCATGAAATTAATTTTAAGGCCAGCCTCGAAAACAAAAAGACCGAGTAAGAAGCTAGAGCGAGGAGAAAAAGCCTCGATCATGGTGAAATCATGGTGTTCTCCGGCGACAGTTTTTTATTCCCATCGTTCTCAACGTCTCGAGCATTCTTCTGCTTCGCGATTCGCTACCTCGTACTCTTTATTTGCACTGCTCCTCTTCCGACGTTCATTCATCCGTGGCCTCGTTCTCGCACTAAATTTCTTTTTTCGGTGCGTTTAACTTGATCGGTTCCGAACGTGATATGTAGATAGAAAGTTTCGGAACCAGGGAACCTCGGCGATCCTTTTCGTCGCTATAATGCGTCGCTACCGATGCATTAAGGTTCTCGAACCCCGAGCGTTACGTGTTCGCAACAGGGATATATGTATATCTCTCTCTGCGTGTACCTACTATAAATCTGGTAACGTTCCCGCGAACCAACTGATATTAATTAACGTGAAAGCCGGAGGAAGAAAATGCGCTCGCATGCGAGTATCAAATACACCGTAGTAATTGCATTTCACGTGCACCGGCATCGTTTCCATGAAATTAATCCCGATACAGACGCGTTACTCGATCGTCCGAAAAATAACATCGTTCCGTACAGTTGATAAACAAATTACTGCTACCGGATCGTAATACCGGTAGATCAAACTATCGATAAATGCCGATAAATTTTTAAAACTTTGCTTCTATTAATAATAATAATAATAATAATAATAATAATAATAATAATAATAATAGAGATTTATCGTAAGAAAGTAATGCCTGATAAATGATAATTTGCGCTATCATTGATGCAGACCTTAAAGGTTTTTTCACGCGATACAATTCCGGCACGAATACTTGAGAACTGTTCATCGCGAAGAATTCCCATTATCTGGCAAGGAATTCTCATTCCTCGAAATACTTGCGCGTTATTTCTATTTCCGCCAATTCTTTTTTTCTTTTCATCCTTCGTCCTCCGTCCTCCGCTCTCCGTCCTCCGCTCTCCGTCCTCCGTTCCGCGTCCTATCGAGTTGGTCGGTTTGACCGCATTTTCTGACCGAGCAAAATAATATATCGGCAGCGAGGCAGCCGTTCACCAGAGGCGCTGGCATTCTCCGCGAAACGTCGAGCTGACCCGTTATTTATCGTGAATTGAAATTCGGAGACCGCGAGACGGGCCAAGGAATTTCATTAAAATTATGACCTTAGATATTGGAACGCGCCACGGCGCGAGAAGGCTCGTTTGCGAAACGTGAACCGACTATGCGAATCCTTCCTCGTATAGGTACGGTTTTCCGCCGCGAAATCTATTCCTGCACATACGCATCGTGCACGAT